TTTAGGGAAAGCTGTGAAGACAAGAGCTATCTGTAGTTGGTGGGAAGAAGTGGATTATCTAGACCACTTAAGAATACTTAGGTTGCCTTCACTCTTGTCAGGAAAAGGCACTTTAATTTTTTGCAGGAAAAAACCCAATCTCTATTGTCATTCCTTTTGGATCCTTGTGAAGAAAAAAAAAACAGTTTTAGACTACACTTGTGCTGCTGCCTGAATTATTAGTGGAGTTTTGTTTTGGTTTCTTGAGGAAGATAAAAAATGTAAAACCCTCTTCTCTATCACAGCGATGATGAGTACATTTATTCCAAAGGGAAGATCTCACAACTAGTTCTCTATTCACCTAATCACTACTAATAGGTTACCAATAATGTGTGTGGATTTTAAGCCATACAAGTGTTTAACTGTACAAGATTAAAATTGCCCCAAAGTATCTGGATGAAATGGGCATAGCACAGTAAATATTTAAGTTCCTGATGATAAAAAATATCAGTGTAGAAATACTATTTTAGCTCAAAAATTTAAATGGCAACTACTAGATATAGTGGAGAATTGCAATTGCTCTTTCTTTTCTCTTGAAACCAAAGTACTCCACAAGCCGTCTTCATTATTCTCCAGAGAAGCATTAAAGGGAAGTTCTGTGTACATAGAAAAAAATAAGACATATGTGCTTCTGTCCCTTTCTGTATATAAAAGCATATATTTTTGAGCTCGGCCAGGGAATACAGGCTCATTTTTAGTTTCTTGTTAAGTAAATATAACAACCAAATAAACTAAAATAATTGATGTTTAAACAGAAGATAAATACTGCTTCCCAACTTCCTCTTTGTAGAATTAGTGTTATCAGGCAGAAAGCACTGGTCCCCTTCCTACAAATTCTACAGGAAAACGACTGCCCTCTCAGGAATGTAAACTTGGCATGCTTCTTGGTTGCCTTCTTTGGTTTGTCTTTTTCCCTTTTAACAAAAGGTCCACCCTATTCTTCCCATGTTAATGTCAAGGTTCTGTTTATGTGATGATCTGTTTACATGATGCAGATGAATATTAAGGAAGGGAGAGCTCTGACAATGGCACAAATGCCATCTCTAGTAGCCTTTCCAGTTGGAGGAACAAGGAGAAGATAATTTGGAATGGGTCACATTTTAGGAACTCAGAAAACTCTTCTTCAAATGTCATCCCAGCCAGAAACTCATTGGGTTAATTCAGATGGAGTTGCCAAGCCTTGTCTTGTTGACTGTGACCTCCAGGCACGAATGCTTCAATTTATTTTCTTTCTTATGTTGAAGAACTACAGTTGGCATTAATATATGAGAGGCTCTACATTCATGAAAAATCCTCAAGGTTTATGTTTTCTTGTTTACCCGTCCTCAAGAACTGGGCTATGGTGACTGCAACTTGAAAAATAGTTGCCATTTGTATATCATCTGTACCTTTATAACTGTCTGGTTTGGTTCTGCAACCCAACAGGACAGACACAGACTTCAGAGGTTAATTAGGTCTGCAGAAAAGACAATTACTACCCACCTGCCTTCAATCGAGGGCCTGTATACTGCACGAGTCAAAAAGAAGGCTGTGAAAATATTTACAGACCCCTCACATCCTGGATGTAAACTGTTTCAACTCCTTCCCTCAAAACGACGCTATAGAGCACTGCACACCAGAACAAATAGACAGAAGAACAGTTTTTTCCCGAACGCCATCACTTTGCTAAACAAATAATTCCCTCAACACTGTTCAACTATTACAAAGTCCGCACTACTATTACTGTTAATCTTCTCATCACTCCTTATCACCCATCCCCTCCCACTTGTGATTGTAGGACTGTAACTTTGTCGCTTGTATCCTTATGATTTATATTGACTGTGTCGTAGTATGATTTGATTGATGATTGTACCCTATGACTATCATTAAGTGTTGCACGTTATGATTCTTGATTCTTAACAAATGTATCTTTTCTTTTATGTATACTTAGAATATTTACACCAAGACAAATTCCTTGTGTGTCCAATCACACTTGGCCAATAAAGTATTCTATTTTATTCTATTCTATATCCTACAATATGCCAAGGGCCACTTCATCCACATTAAACATTTGTGTGTGCGTCAGATATATTTCAGGGATAACAGTAATGCAAAATTCTTTTGGGAGAAAGGGCCAGAGTTGCTGTAGCTATGTTATTTCAAAACAAAAAGAACATCATATCTTCTGATGTGCTTGGAATTCAAGGAAATGAAAAAAAAAATGGTTTCCTTCTTTGCTATTTGTTATGGGCCCTTCTCACAGTCATCCATCTCCTGTTTGAACTATTGTCATGCATTCTACGTTAGGCTGCCCTTGAAGAGTTCAATTGGCTCATAATACACATGGTTTTGTGTAAGTCCAAGGAGAGTGTCATCTCTTTTGCATGAATTGCACTTGTTGCTGATTTGTTTCCAGGTGTTGACTATCATCTTTAAAGTGCTACATGACTTGAGGGCAGGTTGCTTGATGGGCCACCTCTCCCCAATTATATCTACTGGTAAATCTTCACTTTAATGGACATCGTTCAGCTTAAACAGATATTCTTCCTTTTGTAAAGTCCATTAAAATCAGAGGCTTACTCTATTGTTATAAAAGGTTATACAACACTGAAGTTCTCAACTAGTCATCTTTTTTGCCAATCCCCTTGTTTTTCATCATATAAAGGAAAAGCCATGAAGACATAAGCCATTCTTGGTTTTTTTTCCATTGGAGAAGAAAATGTCCATGGAAATTTCCACATTGCATGACATTGATCCTTTCTCTCAGCAGGAGAACGCAATCTTTGGCATTCCAGATGTCACTGAACTACAACTGTTAATACGACTTAAAGACTAGCAATCTCTGCATTTACACAGGCGATTCAGAGAAGACAAACTTTGTTTGGCATCTGGCTATCTGCTCCTTAAAACTGCTTTTAATTGTAAGAGATGGAAATGTTGACAGATAGGAGCGGATCCTATTTCTCAGCAACTTTGTTAAGAGCACTAAATCAATAGCACTAAATCAAAAATAGGTCACCGCATTGTGACATATTCAAGGCCATTTTTAAAAAAAAGATTTGACTGTAAATAATTTATTTGTGGTGAGTACATAACACAAAAGATATAGGCAGTAACAGCAATCCCACTTGTTCTTTACTGATTGGTTCCATGTCTCTGAGATTCCATGACTTCATCTCTGTTCTATTTATTTTCAGCTCAGCTATGTTGTATGTCATACTGCTAAAAAACTAGTTTGTGCCCTAAAATACTGTGGTTCTGCAGGCATAGCAGTTGTTTCCATTTGAGGAAATCTTAGTTTTATCTCACTTCCTAGTTCTTTGGCTACAACCATATTAGCAAATCTTTCAAAGGGAATGGTGGCTTGGCAGCATTTCAACCCTGCCTCCTCATATGATCTATTGACACTTTTTTGGGGGGGTCATATGAACACCCAAGAAGTGAATGTGTATGCCTCAAATGCAGGTAGTTTATTGTAGTTCTGTTTTATATGATGTGGAGTTGAGTGGGATTGTTGCTATAGTATTTTTGGAAATTTGAGGGAAAGTAAGTATTTTTGCTTTTTTGTTCTCAGCATATCTGAGTGTGTGGTGTAAGCATAAATACATGTTGTCTTCAAATTGCTTCAGAGGGATTGGGAAAGTACGAACAGCATTGAAATCAAAATTTCCAAAGGAAGTACAGAATCAGAACATTCCTAGAAATTTTTATGTACCAGGATAAGATTTCTTTTCCTGAAAAGAAATGAGGAATGAAGAGGGGGAATGAAATGCTGTTTTAACACTCTTATTAAAATCTCTCTCTTCCACTCTTTATCTGGAATATAGTGTATATTATGTGTGACTTGTTTTGCTCATAAAATATTGTAGTAAGTTTTAAGTTGCATATTATCTCCCTTTCAGAGGAATAAATGGACTGCTATCCATGCCACTGGATTCCCAATACAGTACACTGAGGTTCAGGCTGGCAAGATCTGGATAGGAAAAACAACCAATTCTTCATTCTCTCTCCACTCCAATACATATTTCTATGTGCTTCCAAACATGTATTATTTTTCTGCTTCATTTTAGTGGTCGTTGGCAATGATATATCTGCAGCAACCTCTCCTGTGAATAGTGCTTTGTGACTGCCCTCTTCAAGTACTTCATGAAAGAGAAGTGATCCCACAGCCAACTTCCCTTACTGCAGTTTCTTCTGTATATGCCTGCCAAATTTTATCTGAAGTCGTGAAAAACTGCCAGTTTCTTTTCTTTGTTTTTGTTTTAAAGGGAAAAGAAGGAGAGGAAGAGTGAAACGACAAGATAAAGGCCTTAATAACACAAAGAGATAGTAGGTGAAAATGTATTAAGAGGTTCCTTGTTTCTAATAATAAATATTTATCTCTAAGTGTATTCTTCATGGCATAACGAAAAGTTAGCAATTCAGATTTTGTTATTGTTCAGCCAGATGCCAATCAGGGGCTGCAGGGAACAAATTCAAGTTGTCTCCAAAGAGGTTCTTCCTGTTAGCAGCTGAGCCTTCACCCTCAACTTTAAGACTTCATGTACAAAGCCTCATCAAATGATTATCCCATCTCAGACTGGAGACAATTAAGACAAACAAACCCAGGAAGTGGCAGGGAGTTCCGAAATGAAAGGAAACCCATGGCAGAAGAAGAAAACTGAAGAGATTGCCCTGATCTGCAACCAAAGTCAACGAGGGGTCACAGTGTGCCAAGTTTTTAAAATAAGCGTTGCTTGTTTTATAATACAAAACTGGCACCCACAGCTGGCAAGGCCTGCAGAGACGATTCAAATGCTAACGGTCAGAATGATAAACAGTCTTCTCCCCACCTCAAAAAGAGTAAGAAAAAAAGTTCTGTGTTAGCAAGCAGAAACTAACAGCCAATGTGGTTGCTAAGAGACTCTGGACTTTAGCCAACACCAAAGAAATGAAGAGCTTTAATAATTCTTTTTTCCCCCAACCCTCTGAAAGAAAAATACCTGTAGATGACGCCATGTTGATGTAGAAACATGAGTGCCGATGTGACTTCTGCTGCATAGAAGCGGGAGCGAGGCTCGTCAAATTTGCGTGAACGTTGAATCTGAAACATTAGGTCTCCTCCATTGACATATTCCATGACGAAAAATAGGCGGTCCTAAAATTCACAAAAAATAGAGCCATTTCATTATTTTTTTGACCGAGTTTCACAAAGATGCTACTGTACATTCATGGCACATCAGGAAATTAGATCTCTATCCAAAAATGGAAGAAACAGCCAACTACAGCTATCTGAACAAGAGGAGCAAATGCTTCCAAATTAAACTATGGGTACTTCAGCTGATGCAGGATGGCTAAAAAAAATTATAGATTTGTTTTTCAAATAAATACTATTTTTTTAATTTTTTTAAAGGAAAATATAATAGATGCATGAGGATCTTTTGCTTAAGTGTAGCATTTCCTTCCATTATGACAAACCAATTTATGTGATATTTGACTTCACCTCATTTTATTTTATTTTTCTAGTTTTTAGCATTATGAAATAATTCAAAGCCGCATTTTGATTGTGCCAATGAAATTCTTGAATAGGAAGAAAATACAAAACAAAAGAAAAAGACTGTTCTTAGACAATTCTGGATCAATGGGTGGCACTGAATATTATAGAGCCACAGTCTGTCATTTGACAAAGATATTTCCTTGGTTCTCTAAAGTAGGGATGGGCAAGTGGTGACTTTTGTGGCTTGTGGACCACAGTTTAAGTTTCAGCTTAAACTAGAACTTGACAAACTTCATTATGGTTGAGTTTGAGATGTATATCCTGTGATAAATTAATCAGCGCTGGTTCTGTATTAATCAGAGGTCAATAGGAGATAATTGGAGAATTGGAAAAGGACAGAAAGGGGAAGCTGTTGACAAGAAGAATAAACAAAGTTTAGGTAAAATTCCTATAATTTACAAAGACAAATGGGGTATATTTGATTCAAGAAACTGAGACGATGCATTCATACATTACAATTGTATGTATATAAACATAAGAATTCATTGGAGTTGGAGAGGTATAACAAATTTGAATAAGGTAAATCTTAGGAATGGGGAGCCTGAGGCCCCACAGATGTTGCTAAATCACAGCTGCAAGCAGCCCCAATCAAGCTGTCCAATGGCAGGTAACATCTAAAGGACATTGATTCCTCATTCTATGTTAAATCTAATGCTGGAAAAAAAGCAATTATCTGCTATACCATGACAGAAATTTTCACCTACTAGTATTTCTACAGCTGCAGGTTTTCACTTAATTTTAGTTCAGTTAGCTAGTTTTCACAGACATTTTCAATGCTTGTACTTTTTTGAATAATAAGATTGGGGGGTTCAAAGTGTACAATTATTTTAAAAGCTTGTTTTGCTTTGATTTTTCGTAGCACCTCTCCAAGTTCTATCAAGAACCTTCAGTGTTCTGTATGGTTTCTCTCTGGTTGGTGACATGCAAATTGCTTAATATGCCTTGTTTATGCAACACAATGATAACACAAGTCAGCACTGAGCTAAAACAGAACCAATAGAGACCGGATTGCGGTAAGGATAGTGAGCTTCATGCTGATCAGCTCAAGACCAATAAATTTGGCAAGAGCAAAGGCCTTACAGCCAGTTATGAAGGTGCTCAAGACCTCTTCAAAGTCAAAACACTGAAGAACCAGAGGGATAACTATACGGGGAAATAGTCTCAAGGTTTTAGAGCCTCAATCTTGCAGGGAGTTTTACTTCAGTATGTACAACAGAATTGTTCTGTTTTTCACATGTTTTCTTTCTTTCCAGTTTTTACTGGATCAATGCTTCCAGACAATTAACTAAAGTTTTAAAAAAGAGCTGGATATCCTTTGATGGTAAAATAATTCTTGATTAGGAATATATAAAGGCTTTTGCACGCACTGAACTGGATGTGTTGCAATATCTGGGGAGATTACTGAGAAAGATGGCTGGACTAGGGAAACAAAGAACTGTCTATATTACTTTACTTTACTTTATTGTCATTGCACCTTGTACAATGAAATCAAAAACCATCTTCAGTGCACATGATGACCATGACCATGAAAATAAACACAAATACACATCCTTCACCCTTCACACATTGAACCTAAAACCCCCAACACCGCACCAACACTGCACTATACAGCAGAATTCAAAAGAGCTACTGCCCTGGGATAGAAGCTGTTTTTCAGCCTATTTATCCTTGTTTTTATTATTCTGTACCATCTGCCAGATGGTAATAGTTCAAAAAAAGGGTTCCCGGGATGAGACGGATCTTTGGGAATGTTTTGAACTTTCTTAACGCAGCAGAAGCTATAAAGCTCTTCCAAAGAGGGGAGAGGGCAACCAATGATCTTCTGGGCAATGACATTAATCCTCTGGAGTGCTTTCCTATCTGTCACTGTGCAATTGGCAAACCATACAGAGGTGCAGTATGTTAAAATGCTCTCTATGGTGCAGCGGTCACCAGCAGTTTTTCATTCAGTTGTTGTTTTCTGAGAAGTCTCAGGTAGTATAATCTCTGCTGGGCCCTTTTAACTAGTGCTGCAATGTGAGCACCCCAGGTCAGGTCCTCTTTTAAGATAACGCCCAGAAACTTAAAACTGGCCACTTGCTCTACTCGGTCTCCATTGATAAGCAAGGGCTGGATGTCTGATCTGTTCCTTCTATAGTCCACTATAAGCTTCTTGGTCTTATATTGGTGTTGAGGACCAAGTTATTGTCTCCACACCACAAAAGCAACAGGTCCACCTCATCTCGGTAGGCAGACTCATCCCCTCCAGAGATAAGTCCCACCACTGTTGTATCATCTGCAAATTTAGCAATAGTATTACTAGTGGGAGTGGGAGTCATGCACATAAAGAATATAGAGTAAGGGACTCAACACGCAACCCTGTGGTGTACCAGTGTTAAGAATAAGAGCTGAACAGGTATGATTACCTAATCTGACCCTCTGTGAGTGGCCAGATAGGAAATCCATAATCCAAAGGTAGATTTAATTAGAAAGTCCAAGGTCTAGAAGTTTAGACACTAGTCTATGTGGAGGAATTGTGTTAAATGCAGAACTAAAATCCACAAAAAGCATCCTCACATAGCCCCCCCGCTGTTCTAAATGAGTCAGAGCAGTGTGAAGAGTGATGGCTATAGCGTCCTCTGTAGATCTATTTTTTTCTGTATGCAAACTGATGTTTTTCAAATGTATGCGGAAGACCAGAAATGATGTGCCAGCAGACCAATTTCTCAAAGCACTTCATGATGATAGGAGTGAGTGCCACTGGTCTGTAATTGTTTAGGTTATTGATAGGGAACTTCTTTGGCAGCGGAACAATGGTGGAAGCCTTCAAACAAGATGGAATAATGAACTGGGATAAAGACCGATTGAAGATCCTAGTAAAGACTCCAGCCAACTGATCAGCATAGTCTTTAAGCACTCGGCCAGAGATACCATCAGGACCAGCAGCCTTTCTAGGTCCACAGCCCTCAGAATGCTCCTCACCTCCTGTTCCTCCACAATGAGGTAGGCGCTACAATTGGCTGCTGGTTGTATTTTATCTGTCTCTGATGTCTCCACTTCAAAGCAAGCAAAGAAATGATTCAATTCCTCTGCCAATGAAGCATCCCCTTCAGCAGGGATGACATTGATCAGTTGATGGTTTGTAATTTGTTGAATCCCTCACCACACCTGCCTCATGTTATTGCTATAAATATTATCCTCCATCTTCCTCTTATAATCAGTCTTGGCCTTCCAAATACCTTTCTTCAGATTAGCTCTGGCAAAAACTGTATCTTGCCCCATCACTGGACCTAAAGGCCTTGGTCCTGTCACGCAAGAGGTGCTGGACTTCCTTGGTCATCCAGGGTTTCTGATTGGGATAGATCCTAATACGTTTATCCACAGTGACAGTATCTGTGCAATGTTTTATATAGCACAGAACAGTTGCAGTGTGCTCCTCTAGGTCAGGGTGGTAAAAGATGTCCCAATTTGTGTTCTCAAAACAATCCTGAAGTTGTTGGGAAGCATCTTCTGGTCAAGATTTCACTGTCTTTATTATAGGCAGAGCCCGTGTCCTAAGAGGGATGTACGCTGGTACTAAAAGCAGTGGCATATGGTCTGATTGTCCCAAATGTGGTAATTGTATAACCTTATAGCCATGTTTGATGTTGGTATATACTTTGTCCAATATGTTTGCTCCTCTAGTAGCACACTTAACATGCTGATAGAATTTAGGGAGCACTACGTTTAAATCAGCTTGATTAAAGTCCCCCACTATGATATGCACAGCATCAGGATACCTATTTTGGTGATTACTAACAATGTTATACAAGAATCCCAAAGCTATGGTAGTATTGGCATCAGGTGGGACATAGACTGCAGTAATCAAAACCACGCTGAATTTCCATGGAAGATATATGGATCTACATTTAAGAGTCATATACTCCAGATCCATGGAGCAGTGGCTGCCTACAGTCTTTGTATTGATACACCAGCTTTTGTTCACATAAAGGCTTAAACCTCCCCCTTTGATTTTGCCAGAATCTCTACTCCTGTCCTGCTGGTGAGCTATGTAGCCTTCCAGTTCAACAGCTGCATCTGGAATGAGTGAATGAAGCCAAGTTTCTGTGATTAGCAAAACACAGCAATTCTTGATGAATTTAGTCTTTGCAATCTGTAGCCTTAATTCATCCATTTTGTTAGTCAGAGATCTTGCATTGGTAAGAAATATACTTGGAATTGAGGGCTTGTGTGGAAACTTACTCAGCCTAAAGAAAACTCCAGCATGGCATCCTCTCCTCCTCTTCCTGTTCCTCTTTCTCCGTCTCTTCCTCCTTCCTACAGGAATAGTGATCCATGGCTCCCCCAGGGACCTAGCTGCCTCCTTCGGTATGTTATGAGAATGTATAAAATCGTCCGTAATAGCCTTTTCACATTTCAGTCCAATTTGTAACAAGGCTTGCCAACTATAGATGCTCCTTGCCCCACAGGGTTCAATCAAGGAAAGGATCCAAAACACACAGAATCATACACACCATACACTGAAAGAAGGAGCGGTTAGCCACAGCATCCATGTGTGCAGCCATCTTGAAAAATATACAATTCATTCTTAATTATCAAGTCATTTTTGTAATGAGATTTCT